TATTCGGTGGTGCATGGTCCTTTTGGGTTGCCTTCACCATAGCAACTTGAAGGATGATTTATTAAGAGAGAGTGAATATTATAAGGAATAATATTTAGCTATTTGATTAATATAAGTCATAAATTAATTGGTATTAATTTGGTGACTTAAAGAGATTAATTAAATAAGAGGGTATAAACTGTCAATTGTTTGATAGTTAGACTTTAGACTATAAATCCATTAGGATACACCTTGTACGGATTCTAAGAGCTTTAGGATAGCTCAAAATCATCCATAGGGTTATCTATGGAATGGATTTGGATAGCCTTAAGAGAAGATTATCCAATTAGGGTTTAGGGTGAAGCCCTTAAGGAGTCTAATAGTATAAATAGCCCCTATGGGTGAGGGAATTCGACACACAACCTAAAGCAAGGAACCTCTGGTCGAATTCCTCCCCTCTCCTCTCTCCTAAATCATCTTGCTTGCTATTGGTGTTTGTAAGCCATTAGAGGAGTGACAATTGTGACTCTAGAAGCTCCAAGACAAACAAGATCAACAAGGGATTCAAAGGTATGATTCTAGATCTGTTTTAATATTGTTGTTTAACCTAATTAGCCATTAGAAGTCTTGGATTCAAAAGCATGTTTATTAGAAAGCCTAGATCCAAGAAATAGGGTTTTGCATGAGCACATAGGAAAGTTCTTATGGCTAAAACCCAACATTGTGGCGGGGGAATGTTGTTGGGATGGAGGTGAGAAAGCTATTGGAGGTTGTTGAACACTAATACCTAGACACATTTCAAGGGATTCAAATTCGTGCAAAAGAAACTTGGATTTCCATTTTGAAAGAATTCCATGCGGTCATCAAAAGTTTTCAGGAAACATCTGTGGATGCACTGGCAAAGGAGCGGTTAGCTAACCTTCGAGAGGATCTCAAAGAATTTGAGAAGTTTAGATTTGATCTGTCGTGGGCCCACAAGAGGATAGACATGGTTGAGAAGCTTAAGTTTGGAAACAAGCAATGTAAAGCATTGTAAAGTTTGTTGTTATTTCCTATTTTTTAATATAAGACTATGAAATACCCTCCAACCCCCGTAACATGGGATTCTTCCCTAGTTTTAATTGTATTTTTATGTGCTATTTTTTATATATTACGTATTTATATATATTTTTATGTGTTATGTATTTTTTAAGTTTATATATATATATATATATATATATATATATATATATATATATATATATATATATATATATATATATATGTTTACATTTTTTACGTATTTATATGTATTTTAAAGTATTTTACATGTTTTTATTTATTTTATGTGTTATTTTTTTATGTATTACATATTTATGTATTTTTTAAAAGTTTTTTTATATAGATGTTTTTGTTTTTTATATATTTTCAATGTATTAACATATTTCTTATGTGTGTGTGTGTGTATATATATATATATATATATATATATATATATATATATATATATATATATACATATTTTTTATGTATTTTTATATGTTTTTTATGTATTACATATTTATATGTATTTTTACGTATTTATGTATTTTTTTTAAAGTTTTTTCTAGAGATGTTTTTATATTTTTATGTATTTCAAATGTATAACTGTATTCTTTTACGTATTTATGCATTTTTTTTTTACTTCAGCTCATCTAAACCATTTCATCCAATTCGTACAACTTTTTCGAGTATCTCTACATAGTTTTCCCACATACCTACATAGTTTAAGTTTTTCCAATTCACTTATCTTAAAATTAAACATCGAATAGGAAAAACTTAAATCATGTAGGTATGTAGGAAAACAATCCAGACATAGTCGAAGAAGTTTTGCGAATTAGATGAAATATTGAAGGCGATTTGAAGTAAAAAATACATAAATACTTAAAAATAATACGACTATACATTTAAAATACATAAAAATAAATAATCATTTATATAAAAAAACTTCTAAAAAAATACATCAAGACGTAAAAAAAAATATAAATACGTAACACATAAAAATATGTAAAATACTTAAAAATACATATAAATACGTAAAAAAAAATATGTTTATACATTTAAAATACATAAAAATACAGTAACATCTATATAAAAAACTTAAAAAATACATAAATACATAAAAATGCATATAAATACTTAATATGTAAAAAAACACATAAAAATACATTAAAAATAATTAAAATACTTAAAAAAAAATACATATAAATACAATATAATATATTTATACATTTAAAAAAATAAACATCTATATAGAAAACTTAAAAACACATAAATACGGAAAAATACATATAAATATGTTATACATAAAAAACAACACATAAAAGCACATTAATATGTAATAAAAATCAGGTTAACAAAACATTACAGGTTCACCCCTCCTTAGGCTCGGCGGAGGGGAAGTGCCAAAAAAACTCGTCATCGATCGTCAACCATTTGGAACACCACTCCCTAGCTCTCGCTAGGGGGCTCGCCAACCATGAGTCGCCAATGCCTTAGCGTGATGAAAGAGAAGGGAACTTTTTGCTTGTGATTGGATGCATGTTCCTTGACATTGAATAAATCACTTTGCAAACTTACATTTTATCCCCTTTTAAATTGAGAAAATATACACCTTTTGAATAAATCACTTTACAAAATTTCATTTAAAATTTATATATATATATATATATATATATATATATATATTGAATAAAAAATATTTGTTTATTAAAATATAGTAATTAAATTAAATTAGAAAAAGTAAATACAATAAATATATTTATTAAAATATAGTAATTAAAATAAATTAGAAAAAAAATACAAAAAATTGAGTGTTAAGAGTGTTACCACTCATTCAAAATGTTAAGTGTATGTATTAAAATGAGAAAAATGATACATTTAAAATGCTTATGTGGCAAAGAGTGTATAATCTTAGACCGTGTAGGATTGGGATTGCTACTTCCAAGATCCAACCATTCAAATAGGAAAGGGATAATGATTTGAAAATGTAACAAACTTTCAACTTTGCTCACATTTAGTCAGTAAACTTTTTTTCGTTATCTATTTGCCACTGAACTATTGAAACTGTTCACATTTTACCCTTATGACCGGATGTTACCGGTCATAAGGGTAAAATGTGAATAGTTTCAATAGTTTAGTGGCAAATAAATAACGAAAAAAAGTTTAGTGACTAAAAGTGAACAAAATTGAAAGTTCGTTTCCCTCTAAAAAAGTTCAATGACTAAATGGGCCTTTAGTCCTCATTACTGCCTCACCAGCCACCCAACTCCCTTGTGTGAAACCTTAATTGGCCATAGTGAACTAGGAGAGAAAGAGGGATAAGATTTGAGTGTTTTGTGATACATTTGAAGAGAATAAGAGATCATCAAGCTTGGATCACGAGGAGGCTTTTGGATCTAGAGGTTTTTCAGGAGTTTGCTTTAGTTGGAGGTAAAAAGATGCTAACTTGATCATTTCCTTATGAGATTTTGGGTTAGGGTGTTTGTAGGGTTTTCTCCCATCTATTTTGGTGGTATTGAGTCACTTGAACATGTCTTGAGGTTGAAACCTAAAATCTGGATTGTAGGTGGTCTAGTGAGCCCAAAGACCCGAACTTTATTGAGCTAGAGGCAAACTTGTGTGCAGTAACCCTTGTTGGAAACTTGTATTGGCATTATGAGCAAAATATATCATGAATGGACGTAAAGCTCGCAGCTTTACGTGACATTCGAGCCTTAGGGAGCTAGATCTGGAGTTTGGGGGTCATGGATCTGCCTTAAGGCGTCTGAATGAGCACATGGACTGAATGGACTCACCGAGTCAACGAGCTGAATCGATGAGTCGACTAGGGTTTTCCTTAATAAGTCTGGACATGGGTAACTCGGCAAGTTGATGAGACAACTCGATGAGTTCAATTGGATTTTCGCGACATTCTGAGAAAACGAGGGGACTCGACGAGTCACATAGATGCACTCGGCGAGTCAGGTCAACATGGATTGTTGACTCGAGTGTGGTAAAGTAGCCTTGTGACATGATATATATATATATATATATATATATATATATATATATATATATATATATATATATATATATATATATAGAGAGAGAGAGAGAGATGTAAACAGCTCTATATAAGGTGGGTTTATACAACATGTAGAGGTGTGCTTGAGAGATGTAACGTTGAGAGTGTTAGTGTGTGTTGATTATGTAGATTTAGATCTAGATCCTTTTTTGTAAACATCTTTCATAATCGAATGCATCTCTTAAACACCCAAATCACCGTGTTCTTTGTGTATTATTTAATTCCACATGTCAAACAAATGGTCATAATTCACATAAGTGAGAATGATTAATTTTTTTGTAAAAAAAAAATCAAATTGGAAATTTTGATTTATTATTTTGGAAAATACCAAACCATTGGTTTTTTATATTTCGGTTTCAGTTTTTCGTAGATTTCTTCATTAACAAATGTTACTGGAATTTAACAAAAATAAATAATTTGCTAATACATAATATAATAGGAAGTTTGTTCAATTTAGTCATTAAACTTTTTTAGAGGGAAACGAACTTTCGATTTTTTTCATATTTAGTCACTAAACTTTTTTTTTTTCATTATCTATTTATCACTGAACTATTGAAATTGATCACATTTTACCCTTATGACCGGGAACAACCGGTCATAAGGGTAAAATGTGAACAATTTCAATAGTTCAGTGACAAATAGATAACAAAAAAAAGTTTAGTGACTAAATGTGAACAAAATCGAAAATTCGTTACCCTTACAAGACATTATCCCAATAGGAAACAAATGGTCGGATGTAACTCTATCAACGGCTCATTGAGCACCATATGGGACGGGGCGAGGGGATTGGATTGGGGTTAAGTTTTAGGGATGAGTTGTGTTTGGAGTTAATGGTGGTTATGAAGGGGCGAAGTTCAGGCTTATTGGGACCAAATTTCAACCCACCAATCTAAATTGAACGAATTGGTACAAATGAATTCAAAATGACAAATCGTTCATGCAAAGCATATCTGATGCTTACCTGTTCAACAACAGGTTGAATATTGCTATGGGAAAATGTTACACTGCCTGGTGGAAACAAGTAAGTTGCCCAATTTCCGATTTTATCCCTTTTAGCAAATAATCTTATCCTCTTCTTTGACTAAACAAGTGGCTTTTGTTTCTCCACATATATACGTAGATCCTATCCTCTTCTTTGATGACGTTCACAATAACCATCATTGCTAGAATCATATGTTCTATAAACTTACATCTTGAGGATTGTTCATCTCATCAGTTTTTTTTACCATTGTTTCATATAAGTTTTCCCCAACAAATAAATTGCCTTACAGCAGGATCCTTCAAGCATACCGTCAATGACGTCTTCTTCAACTTCACCCGTTGCAAAGAGCTTTAAGTATGACGTATTTTTGAGTTTTAGAGGTGAAGACACTCGTAAGAACTTCATCGATCATCTTTATTATGCTCTTCAGCAAAAAAGCATTTCCACTTACAAGGATGACGAGAAAATCGAAAAAGGGAATAAAATCAGTGATGAGCTCATGGAATCCATTGCAGACTCAAAATTCTTCATCATTGTTTTCTCCAAGAACTACGCATCTTCATCTTGGTGCTTGAATGAGCTTCTAAAGATAATGGAGTGTCACAAATCAACCGAGCAGACTGTTTACCCTGTTTTCTATGATGTGGAACCCTCTGAAGTCCGCAATCAAATCGGGGCAGTTGGAGACGCCTTTGCCAAACATGAAAATGAAGAGGCCGCTGGGAAATGGAGAAAGGCTTTAAAAGAAGCAGCTGATGTGGCCGGGTGGGAGTTGAAGAACACCGCTGATGGGTAATTTCTTCATCATATTAGTACAACATTCTTTCATTTTGTTTCTTTCCTATTTATGTTTATCTTGGATGTAAAAGGCTTGGACATGACCTCTCATCTTGGATTGTCAAATTAACTTATCTTGTTGAAAGATTAAACGTGAAATATGATTATATTAGGATGTTATTACCTCATAAATTCTTAAATGTTATAGATCTGAAAGTAACTGTTTTATGTGGGAATTTTGAGTAACCTAATTGAATATTCACTAATATACAGGCATGAAGCTAAATTCATCAGACAAATTGTTGAAAAGCTTTCACTAGAGTTACGTGCCATCAATGTTCGCATTGATAAAAACTTAGTAGGCATGGAGACTCGGATCAACGATATTATATCATCTTTAGGAACTGCTTCAGATGATGCTCACATGATTGGGATATGGGGGATAGGTGGTGGTGGGAAGACGACTTTGGCTAGAGCGATTTTTAATATAATATCCTTTCAGTTCGAAGGCAAAAGCTTTATTGAGAATGTGAGGGAAGTTTCAAAAGCTTCATTGTCCGGATTGAATTCGTTGAAAAGTCAAATCCCTTTAAATGGTGGAAAGGTTCTTCTTGTTCTAGATGATGTGGATCATTTAGACCAGCTTGAGGCGTTGGCTGGTGATCGGAGTTTGTTTAAGCCGGGAAGTATAATTGTCATTACAACAAGAGATGAGCAAGTGCTAGTAGCACATGGAGTAAAGTTTATTCATAATGTCAATCTGTTATCAGATAAGGAGGCAATTTGGCTCTTTAGTAGGTATGCATTTGGGAAAGAGATTCCAGTTCAAGGATACGAAGAGCTCTCAAGACAAGTTGTATGTTATGCTGCTGGTCTTCCGTTGACGATCAAAGTTTTGGGTTCGTTTCTCTGTGGTAAAAGTAAGCCTGAATGGGTAGATGCCCTAGCCAGACTAAAAACGATTCCATTAGAGGAAACTCAGAAGAAGTTGGAATTAAGCTATATCAGTCTAGATGAAGAACATAAGGAAATATTCCTAGATGTTGCAACCATCTTAAAAGGTTGGCTGAAAAACTCGGCTATCGAAGCACTTGAAAGCTGTGGATTTTATGCTAGAATTGGTTTAAGAGTTCTTGAGCAAAAGTCTCTCATAACTATTGATGGTGATGAGTGTTTGGGCATGCATGACCATTTAAAAGAAATGGGCAGGAATATTGTTCGTCGTTCACACCCCAATATGCCCAACAAACATAGCCGGTTGTGGGATGGCAAGGAAATTGAAGATATATTGGCTAATGACATGGTAAGATGGAGAAACTAACACATTTTCATTTGTTACAAACATGTTTCATGTTGATTGCTTTTTTGTTACAGGGTAATGAAGCAACAAGATGTATAAAATTCTACTATAGGGGACTGGATCCGCAAATCACTATGAAAGGTCTTAGAAAGATGAAAGAACTTCGGTTTCTTGATGTGACCGATAATAAATTTTACTCAAATCCAAAAATTAATAAACTCATCCCAAACTGTCTAAATGGTTTAGAAGTTGTATGGCGTAATTGGAAATCTAATAAAGTTAGCCTGTACATTCCGGATGCGTTAAGATATTTGCGTTGGTATAATTATCCTTTTAGGTCTTTACCCAAATCATTTCAAGCAAATAATCTTGCTGCACTTGAGATGGCTGAAAGCGGTATCGTACAGCTCTGGAAAGGGGGAGAAAAGAAGGTAGAATTGTTTTGCATGATTCATTATAATATTGTTGTACATCCATTGGTTTGTTATTATACCAATATTAATCCATTTTGTTATTTTGCTTATGTTAGGTTCTTAACAAGCTCAGATTCCTTCTCCTCAGTGGTCCAAAGTTGAGGTCCCTTGACCTTGGGTTGACTCCAAATCTTGAGACATTGACGCTGGTCAAACATGTACATGGACCTGGAGCTGGTGGTTTGGTAGAACTTCATATGCCCGGTGAATGTCTAAAACTCAGATTCCTTGAACTTGATCATGTAAAGTCAAGGATGTTTGACCTTGGGCTGACTCCAAATCTTGAAAAGTTGTATCTAAGACGTGATTTGGTAGAACTTCACATGCCCGATACATGTCCAAATCTCATATCCCTCCATTTCAGTTTTTCAAACTTGAGGACCCTTGACATTGGACGGACTCCGAATCTCGAGGATTTATATGTGTCCGGTTGTTTTGATTTGAAAGAGCTTCACATGGTCGATAAATGTTTAAAACTCAGATCCCTCTACCTTGTTGGTTTAAAGCTGAGGACCCTTGACATTGGGTCGAGTCCAAATCTTAAGAGCCTGGATCTTCATGGATGCAATGATTTGGAAGAATTTCACATTGCCGAATCTCCAATGCTCACATTCATCAAGATTGAGTGTTTAAAGTTGAGGACCCTTGATCTCAGTTTGGTTCCTAATCTCAATAAGCTGTTTCTTTCTGAATGCAAAGATTTGGTAGAACTTCACTTGCCTGGTAGATCTATAAATCTCATCACCCTACTATGCACTAATTCAAAGTTAAGGACCCTTGACATTGGGCTGTCTACCAATCTCACTGCTTTAAATCTTACAGATTGTTATGATTTGGAAGAACTTCACATGGTCGATCAATGTCAAAAGCTTCTATCACTCACCATTAGTCATTCAAAGTTGAGGACCCTTGACCTTCGGTTGACTCCAAATCTTGAGAAGTTAGATCTTAGAAAATGTTATAACTTGGTAGAACTTCATGCTCCCTTTGGATGTCTAAAAAATCTTGTCTACTTGGACTTAAGTGGATGTTTGGCGTTTAGATCTTTTTTGTTTTGCTTAACAGATAATACTACTGGTCTAGTGAATGAATCACTTGAAGTTCATCCTTTAGCTGAGTTATGTTTTACCCTAAAAATATGCCCATTTCACCCCGACAATCATTTGCTGAAGTTTGAGTTTAGATGTTTTCATGAAGAAGATCTACCCTCATTGACTAGAAGTCTTGAGAAGCTTATTTCTGCACGTCCATGTGCTTGCACAAAACTTGAGAAGTTTTCAAGAAGCATTTGTAGGTTACAACGTTAAATAAAGCTTGAACTCAATGGTAGTAATGCAGAGGTACCCAAGAGGAGTTATGTTTGTTGTCTACATCTTCTACACATAAGTCTTATCGGCTTTTGAGAAGTTACCCATGGACATATTGTGATTAGAGATGTCAGATGTTTAGAGCAGCAAGATTTGTTCCAGAAATACTTTTTTTATATATGTTGGAACATGTAGAGAGGGCTTCTTTCAGTCTTGTGATTTTACATCCACAGCAAGCAGGAACTATTCTACAAGGTACTTTCTCAGTTTTCCGTTAATCATGCATCTTATTTTCATCTGAATTTTGAAATTGATAGACAACATTAAAAAATTTCATCCAAAAATCAATAATTATATATACATACAGGAAGAGCCCATGCCTGTGTTATAGTTTTAAGCTTGGCTTCAGAGAGTAGCTTCTTTATCATTTATGTTAAATTTGGAGCCTTATTCGAGTTTAAAACCAAATCCAAGTGTTTAAGTAAGAATCAGACGATATTCTGCCAACTCGTGTGGATTTCATGCAAATTACCACACAGGTAAAAGTAGTATAGTATATTCCATCTTCTTTTTGCATATGAAAATGTATTCATGTTACTATTTGTCCTACTAACATCTGAACCATTTCCTGCAATTAGGAGTTCTGGGAAGTGGTCTACACTCTACACACAAGGTGATTTGCCCAACTACTTTTTGGAAACTATTTGGCTTACATCAGTCTATGTAATCAAGTTTCTTTAACCATCATACTTTCCAATTAATTGTTGTTCTTGGAACAGAACCTGGGGATTTGGTAGAAATTGATGGACTAATTAAGTTGAAGCAGTACAAGGTATTTGATATTGGTATACTTATCCTTGTTATGGATGTTTTCAAGCTAGTAACCATGTGTATGTATTGTTTATGTTACAGGTGACTATTGATGCCTCTACTCCTGAAGCCAGTATAATTTAAGAGGTCAAATAAAGAAGTAGTTTCTCAGCCACCTCCTCCTGCTATTGAGAAAGTTGAGGAGAAGCCAATGACAAAAGTCGAAACTACCCCTGTCATAGTTTATACTAGAGCTATTGAGTTTAATCCAATACAATCAATGTTCAAATTAAGTTTTAACTCGATTATCCATATTTAAAATGTCTAATCTTTGTTTTGTTAAAACAAATTAGCAGGTACTGAGTTTATGACCTTTGGTAAACTACAGGGACCATTTATGTAATTTCGTCATATCAAAATAATCCATGCTCTTATTGAATTTAATTAATCACGACTGTGTTGTTTTTTGTTATTTTCTTGTTTCCAGATTTCATTTAACCCCACCTAGGGTTTAAGTTACGTTTGATTATGTGGTGTGTGTTTAATGCATTGCTTGAAGTTGCTACATGTCTTAAAGATATATTCTGATTTGTTAGCCACATTCAATAAAGTTTTAACTCTCTATACAAGGTTATGTGCATTGATTGGTGTCTGCTAGACTGCTACGAAGACCTTCACAAAACTTGTTGCTCAAGTATATTAAGTAGTAATATTTAGGTGTGCTTAAACTGCTGCCGTGAATTTTTAATTAGGGTTCTAAATTTTCTTCTATAAGAAAAATAAAGAAGATTGGGGCAAAATTCATTTTAGTTGAACAAGTCTACAACATATAAGAATGATATTGGATTGCAAAAGGATGAAACTACAACAGCTGTCAATGCGTTAAAAACGTATGATTTTCTTGTCTTCCTTTTATGTTTTAACATTTATGAGCATTTTGTGTCCTCGCAAACAAATACATCGCTGTCACTGCTAGTTTTCATAGGTTAATTATTCGCTGTCACTGCTAGTTGTCTTCTCTTCTCTACCTGATTCCAAAGTTTCCAAACAAGAGTATCACCTTCACATCACATCACCAATTATCTTCTTAACATGCATTCTCTGTGTTATTCATTAGATCTCATCGAAGTTTCTTTGCAATTGTTTCTTACACATTTCCCAAAGCAAAGATTTTAGTTTATTTATACATTACTTCAATCATATACCTTCAAATCAATGGCGTTTTCCTCCACTTCATCCATTCACAAGAGCTTTAAATATGATGTGTTTTTGAGCTTTAGGGGTGAAGATACCCGTAAGAACTTCATTCATCATCTTTATTCTGCTCTTCAGCAGAAGGGTATTCACACCTACAAGGACGACGAGAGAATCAATAAAGGGAAAAGGATTAGTGATGAGCTCATGGGATCCATCGAAGACTCAAAGTTCTTTATCATTGTCTTGTCCAAGAACTATGCATCTTCATCTTGGTGTTTGAACGAGCTTCTAAAGATAATGGAGTGTCACAAGACAACCACACATATTGTTTACCCCGTCTTCTATTATGTGGAACCCTCCGAAGTCCGCAATCAAATCGGGGAATTTGGAGAAGCCTTTGCCAAACATGAAAATGAAGAGGCTGCTGGGAAATGGAGAAAGGCTTTGAAAGAAGCAGCTGATGTGGCCGGTTGGGAGTTGAAGAACACTGCTGATGGGTAATTCCTTCATCATCTCTCTACAATATTGTTTCATTTAATTTCTTTCTTTCTAATCTGAGTTTACCTAGGATGTATAAGGCTCGGACATGGCCTATCATGTTGGATTTCCAAATCTTAACTATGTTCATGAGTCTTGCTGAAAGATTAAATATGAAATATTATTAAACATGAAATATAAGTTTGTATTTTAATTTATAGATTTGAAAGTAATTGTTTTTGTAGGATTTTGAGTAGGCTAACTAAATCTTCTCTAAAATGCAGGCATGAAGCTAAAGTCATTCAACAAATTGTTGAAAAGCTTTCACTAGAGTTGCGTTCCATTAATGTCCGCATTGATGAAAACTTAGTAGGCATGAAGACCCGGATCAACAATATTGTATCATCATTAGGAACTGCTCCTGATGATGTTAGTATGATTGGGATCTGGGGGATAGGAGGTGGTGGGAAGACAACACTGGCCAGAGCTATTTTTAATACAATATCTTTCCAGTTTGAAGGTAAAAGCTTCATTGAGAATGTCAGGGAAGTTTCCAATGCTTCCTTGTCCTGTTTAAAGTCGTTGCAAAAGCAAATTCTTTCGGATGTCTTGAATGATCAAGGCATCAACGTAAGTAGTGAAAATGAGGGGGAAAACATGATGTGGAGGATGATGCGTGGTAGAAAGGTTCTTCTTGTTCTAGATGATGTGGATTGTATGGAACAACTTGAGGCGTTAGCCGGTGACCGTAGTTGGTTTAAGCCGGGAAGTATAATTATCATTACAACAAGAGATGAGCAAGTGCTAGTAGCACATGGAGTAAAGTTTATTCATAATGTCAATCTGTTATCAGATAAGGAAGGAATTTGCCTCTTCAATAGGTATGCATTTGGGAGAGAAATTCCCATTCAAGGGTACGAAGAGCTATCAAGACAAGTTCTACGTTATGCTGCTGGTCTTCCCTTGACCATCAAAGTTTTGGGTTCTTTTCTTTGTGGTAAAAGTAAGCTTGAATGGGTAGATGCCTTGGCTAGACTTAAAAGAATTCCTTTAGAGGAAACTCAAAAAAAGTTGGAATTAAGCTATACCGGTTTAAATGAAGATTACAAGGAAATATTTCTAGATGTTGCAACCATACTGAAAGGTTGGCCGAAAGACTTAGTAATCAAAGCACTTGAAAGCTGTGGATTTCATGCTAGAATTTGTTTAAGGGTTCTTGAGCAAAAATCTCTTATTACTTTTAATGATAAATCTGATGTTGGTGAGTGTGTAGGCATGCATGACCATATTGAAGAAATGGGCAGGAATATTGTTCGTCGTTCCCACCCGGATATGCCTTACAAACATAGCCGATTGTGGATTGATGACGAGATTGAAGATATATTGGCTAATGACTTGGTAAGGATCATGTTTATTTGTATAAGTTGGAGAAACTAACACATTTTCCTTTGTTATGAAACAAGTTTCATGGAAATTGCTTTTTGGTTACAGGGTACTAAAGCAACAAGATGTATAAAATTTTACAAGGAGAGACTCAATCCGGAAATTGTTATGAAAGGTCTTAGAAAGATGAAAGAACTTCGGTATCTTTATGTGGCTCAGCAAAGTCTTTACTCGAATAGGGCTAAACGGAACCCAAATTGTCTAAATGGTTTTGGTGTACTGTGTTGTAATAAAGTCACTCCATACTTCCCAGATGCTTTACAATATCTGCATTGGAACAATTACCCTTTTGGGTCTTTACCCAAAACATTTCAAGCAAATAATCTTGTTGCACTTGAGATGATCAACAGCAAGATCGTGCAACTTTGGGAAGGGGGAGAAAGAAAGGTAGAATTGTGGTTCATTAATTGCTTTATATAATTCACTATAATGCTATCCATTGCTTTGCTATATCATACCAATATTCATTTTTTTTTTATATAATTTTGATTATGTTAGACTCTCAAAAAGCTCAGATTCCTAGGCCTCAGTGGCCCAAAGTTGAGGACCTTTGACCTTGGGCTAACTCCAAATCTCGAGACATTGACTCTTGGAGGACTAGGTGATTTGGTAGAACTTAAAATTCCCGTTGAATGTCAAAAACTCAGATCCCTCAAACTTTATTGTACAAAGTTAAGGCCGTTTGACCTTTGGTTGACTCCAAATCTCGAGGAGTTGTTTCTTGAAGGTGGTGATATGGTAGAATTTCACATGCCCCCGAGGTGTCTAAATCTCACATCCCTTAATCTCAAATATTTAAAGTTGAGGACACTTGACATTGGGCTGACTCCAAATCTTGAGAATTTATCTGTTATGCATTGCTCTGATTTGGAAGAAATTCACATGGCCAATGAATGTGTGAAGCTCAGATCCGTCTACCTTGAAGGTCCAAAGCTCAGGACCATTGACCTTGGGCCGACTCCAAATCTTAAGAGAATGGATCTTCATGGAAGCAAAGATTTGGAAGAATTTCACATTCCCGAATGCCCAATACTCACACACATCAGCATGAGCTATTCAAAGTTGAGAATCATTGACCTCAGGCTGATTCCTAATCTCAATATGTTGTTTCTTGTAAGCTGCATAGATTTGGTACAACTTCACCTAGCCGATGAATGTCAAGAGCTTGAATCCCTCACCGTTATGCATTCAAAGTTAAGGACCCTTGACCTTGGGCTGACTCCAAATATCAAGATGCTGAATCTTGAAGGATCATATAACTTGTTAGAACTTCATGCTCCCATTGGATGTCTAAAAAATCTTGTCCGCTTAGACTTAAGTGGCTTTTTGGGGTTTAGATCTTTTTCGTTTCGCTTAAATGATAATACTTCTGGTATAGTGAACAAATCACTTAAGGTTCGTCCTTTAGCTGAGTTACATTTCACCCTAAAAACCTGCCCATTTCACCCAGACAATAATTTGCTGAAGTTTGAGTTTACATGTTTTCATAAAGACGACATACCTCCATTGATTAGAAGTCTCACGAAGCTCATTTCTGGAGGTGCGTGTGCTTGCACAAAACTTCCGAGGTTTTCAAGAAGCATTGGTAGGTTACGACGTTAAAGAAAGCTTAATTAAAGTACTCAAAGGTGGTATTAATTCCATAGGTACCCAAGAGGAGCTAAGTTTATTGAAACATCTGGAATCTCTGAAACCTAATTAAGTCTTGTTGGCTTTTTGAGAAGTTACCTGATTTGAGATGTTTAGAGCAGCAAAGATATATTTTTTATGTTGGAACATGTCAAGAGGGCTTATTCAGTTGCATGATCTTACATCCACAGCAAGCACCCACAACTGGAGCTGTTCTACTAGGTAATTTCTTGGATTTTTGTTAATCATCTTATTTCAGTTTGAATATCGAAATTGATATGGCAATATCTATATTTTCAGTGAATAATCAACAATTATTTTGACAAAATACAAGTAGTATGGATGTTTTTGAGCCATATGCAAGTATGTTACAGGTGACTATTGATACTGCTACTCCATCCAACAAGGCATCTGAAGAAGCTGTTTCTTAGCCACATCCTCCTGATATTGAGAAGGTTAAAGAGAAGCCAATGCCAAAAGTCGATACTACCCCTATCACTGAGAAGCCTAACCCAGCCTATCCACCGCCTCCTACAACCTCTGCTTTAGAACCCCAGCTTGTTATAGAAAGAAAAGGATGTACGAATCACATATTTTATAGTTTCTACTTAAGCTGTTGATATTAATCCAATACAATCAATGTTTAAAGTTTAAACCCTCTAATCCATCTTTAAAGCTGTCAAATATTTGTTTTGTTGCTTTCCTCTGTGGTTATATTATCAAAATAATCCATGCTCTACTATGTTTTTTTTTTTTTTTTTTTTTTTTTTCCACATTAAACCTCACCTAGGGGTTTAAGTTATGTTTGATTTGGTGGTGTATTTTTAATGTATTGCTTCGAGTTGCTACACGATCTTAATGATTCTCAGAACACATTTGATTTGTTAGCTACACTCAATAAAGTTTATAACTCTCTATTCAAGGTTTCAACATTTCCCTTGACCGCTAGAGGTACAATAATTAAGAAAATAAAGATCTGAAAATTAACAGGTCTCCCTGAATCAATGAAGAACAGACAACGAGCCAGCTTCTAGTAATAGAGTGAGAGTGTTGAGGTTGAATTGTGTTGTGAGGTATCGAAGAGTCTGTCTTAGAGTCGAAGTCTATATTTCAGCGTATGTTGTATGTATTTCATAAAGGCACATTTGTATGTCGAAGCTTAATAGTTTTAGCCTTTATGTATTTTTTGTTAACTTCTGAATTCCTCTAAATAGGGATAGGTTCTAGAGATAGAGTAACCTTTGGACATTTCGTGTTCTTACTCTACACATAATCTTGTAACCTTTAGAAGTATTATTGAGCCATCCAGATTATATTTACTCATTGTGTTCATGTTTCAATTCAAACTCTGATTTCTTTTCATTTATTCGATCAATACAAACTACGGAGAGTATACGGATGATAATAATTTTGGATAGAATTTGTTTCTTCATACAATGAATTTATGAATATTCCCCAAGTACATATCATCGTCATCATGCCACGTCAGTTCCATGTGAGTATGTTACACCACCATAAATAGACAGAGGCATCAACATGTCACGCCAGTTGTTAAATTAGTTGACCGGTCAAATAGTCAAATTAAAAAAATTAGTGGCTAAATTATAAAAATAATAGTAACAGTCAAAATTGAATTTTTGTGAAAATATGGTGACTTTTTGTGCAATTTACCTATAAAAAAAACAAACTATACAAAAAGAAGTAAAATGAACAAATAAGAACAGATTTAAGCTTTCTGTTACCAAATTGAATTCCCAATACTCTATTCACTTGAAGATAAGAACATTCCCGATCTTATTTTGTTGTACCCTCAATCTTATCTTTTTTAGCTTATAGCTTATTAACTTATAATGGTGTGAGAAAACAGTTTTTGCAAAAGTGTTTGGATTAGAAGTAAGCTATAAGCTTTAAGCAAGGGGAAGCTTTTCAAAAGTACCTTATTTAGCTTCTCCCCACCACAGTAAGCTGATTTTTAATATTTCATATCCAAACACTTAAACTTAGCTTATAGCTGTGGGGATAAGCAATAAACTATAAAGTCTCTCTTTTTTTTTCCATCCATACACCCTCCTAATTATGATGGTTCTCTGATGAGTTAAAGTAATGGAGCATTAGTGAAAGATCAATTTCGTTTTCCCAAAGGTTTCTTAAATGTTGAGTTTATCGTCCGTGACAATCCAATCACTCTTATGGTCACAATGGTTTTCATTCGTATCGTATTGTTTTCAATTGATCATCACAAAGCATCCATTGTGTTTTCATCGCCCGTAGAGAAGAATCAGAGTGATGATGGTCACGAGAGGGGGAAAGGAGAATCGGTGGTGCTACGACGAGGCAACGATGTGTGTGATCTTGAACCCACCTCTCCTTTCTTCTCCGTTATTGGGAATCTCATTCGAGACATTGGTGATGGCTATAGTGAAGGGAGGGGGAAACAAGGTTTTTGGAGAGAAGCGGCTGTGAAAGGAGTGGCAACAAATTAAATAAGCTACTTGACGCTTATTGCATATTGCCATGAAAAATTATGTTACATTGCCCCGTAGAAGCAAGTAAGTTGCCAAATTTCCATTCTTTTTCTTCCTTTTAAGCTAAGAATCTTATCCTCTTCTTTGACCTAGCAAGTGGCTTTTGTTTATACACCTATTCCCATATACTTTTTGTACAAACCGATAACGTTCACATAACCAGTGCTAGAACCAAATCTTCTTAAATAACACTGTCGAGGTTGTTTAATTCATCTCATCAAAGTTTCTTTACAATTTCACTACAAAAAGGTTTTATATTAATATAGGATCCTTCAAGCATACCTTCAATGACATTTTCTTCAACTTCATCCATTCCTAGGAGCTTTAAGTACGATGTGCTTCTGAGTTTTAGAGATGAAGACACTCGCACTAACTTCATCGATCATCTTTATTCTTCTCTTCAGATGAAAAGCATTTACACTTACAAGGAAGATGAGAGAATTAATAAAGAGAAAAGGATCAACGATGAGCTCATCAGATCCATTGAAGACTCAAGATTCTACATCATTATTTTCTCAAAGAACTATGCATCTTCTTCTTGGTGTTTGGATGAGCTTGTGAAGATAATGGAGTGTGACAAATAGAGTGGACATATTGCTTACCCTATCTTGTGTGATGTGGTACCCTCTAAAGTCCGCAATCAGAGTGGGGCATTTAGAGAGACCTTTTCCAAACATGAAAAGGAAGATGTTGCTGGAAAATGGAGAGAAGCTATGAAAGAAGCAGTTGATCTGGCTTGGGTAGGAACCGAAGAAAACCGATGATGGGTAATTCCTTCATCGTATCTCTACAATATTTTTTTATTGTGATTTTTTTTCCTCTAAACTACATTTTAAACGGTTATCCATGACATCTCATGTTGCACGGTGAAATTAACTCAAACTCTAGTCTTATTGAAAAAGTAAACATAAAACATGACTATATTACTGTTATTACTTCATATAGGTTATAAATCTAAAAGTTAACATTCATGTCAGATACTAATTAAGTTAATTGAGTGTTATTTAAAACACCGACATGAATCTAAGTTCATCAAAAGAATCGTGGAAGAGGTTTCACTATAGTTACGTTCCATCGATTTCCGCATTGATGAAAAGTTACTAGGCATGGAGACACGGATCAACGATATTGTATCATATTTAGAAACTGCTTCTGATGATGTTTGCATGATCGGGATCTGGGGGATAAGAGGTACTGGGAAGATAACTTTGGCCAGAGCCATTTTTGATCAAATTTCCTTTCAATTTGAAGGGAAAAATTTTGTTGAGAATGTCAGAGAAGTTTCAAGTGTGCCTTTGTCCGGTTTAAAGTTGTTGCGAAAGAAAGTCCTTTCACACATCTTACACGATCAAGGCATCAACATAAGCAGTGTTCCGAAACGGAAAAACATGTTGTGGAGGATGATGCGTGCTAGAAAGGTTCTTCTTGTTCTAGATGACATGGATCATATGGACCAACTTTAGGCGTTGTCTGGAGAGCGTAATTGGTTTAAATCAAGTAGTACAATTATCATTACAACAAGAGATAAGCAAGTGTTGGTAGCACACGGAGTGAAGTTGATTCACAATGTCAATTTGTTGTCGGATAAGGAAGCAACTTGTCTCTTCAGTAAGTACGTATGTGGGAGAGAAATTCCAATTCAAGGGTATGAAGAGCTATTAACACAAGTTGTACATTATGTTCTTGGTCTTCCCTTAACGATCATAGTTTTGGGTTTGTTTCTCTGTGCTAAAGATGAGGTTGAATGGATAGATGCCTTAGAAAGACTTAAAACAATTCCGCTAATGGAAACTCAAAAAAATTGGAATTAAGCTATACCGACCTAGAGCAGGATTATAAGGAAATATTCTTAGATGTTGCATGCATATGGAAAGGTCATACGAAAAACCATGTAATCCTAGCACTTGAAAGTTGTGGATTTCATGCTAGAAATGGTTTTAGAGTTCTTAAGCAAAAATCTCTCATAACCATTTATACGAGTTATAATTACAAGCGTGTGGGCATGCATGACCATTTAGTAGAAATGGGTAGGAATATTGTTCGTTATTCACACCCGATATGCCTTACAAACATAGTCGATTGTGGATGGAAGACGAGATTGAAGATATATTCGTTAATGACCTGGTAAGCATCAGGTTTTATTTGTAATTTATAGAAAACTAATTCATTTGCATTTGTTACGACATAAGTTTTATGGTGGATGGTTTTGACTTACAGGGTACTGAAGCAACAATATATATACATTTCAACATATCCAGAGTCGATGCGAAAATCGTTTTGAAATGTCTTCAAAAGATGAAGGAACTTAGATTTCTTCGTGTTTCTCTTAATTGGACTGATTCAACTAAAACTCTTATTGGTTTGAGTAAATGTAATTGTTTTTGTTGGAATCTGAAATTTGATGATTTCAGCCCATACTTTCCAGATTCTCTAAGATATCTATGTTGGTATAGATACCCTTTTAGATCATTACCCAAAACATTTCAAGCAAGTCATCTTGTTACACTCATCATCATTGGCAGCAAATTTTATTACCAAATTACCAAAGATTGCTAGACAAAATGATAGCATTTGGGTAACCGTCGACCGCCTGACTAAGAGTGCATATTTTCTCGCCATGCGTCAAAAGACTCGAATGGAGAAATACGCACAAGTATACTTGGATGAAATTGTTGCAAGACATGGTGTGCCACTAAAGATCATTACCGATGGTAATACTCGCTTCACTTCTCATTTTTGGGCGAGTATGCAACGTGAATTGGGATCTCGAGTTGCTCTCAGTACAACTTATCATCCCCAGACAGACGGTCAGACGGAGAGAATGATCCAAACAGTAGAAGATATCCTTCGTGCATGTGAAGCACTATATAATAATAGTTATCACGTTTCTATCAAAATGCCACCATATGAAGCACTATATGGATGTAAATGTCGTACGCCATTAGGTTGGCGAGATATAGGACAGAAAATCCTTGGAGGCCCTGAAATGAATCAAGACACCACCGATAAGATTCAAATCGTACAAGAAAGGATGAAAGCAGCCCAGGATTGACATAAGTCCTATGCAGAAAAGAGAAGACGACCCATAGAGTCCAAATCTCAAGAATTTGATACTTGAAGATTATGATTTGGTAGAACTTCAAATGCCCGATAGATGTCGAAATCTCACATTCCTATCACTCATTAATTAAAACCTCAGGACCCTTAACCTTGGGCGGATTCCGAATCTCGAGTATTTAAGTGTTTTCCACTGTAATGATTTGGAATAACTTCACATGGCCTATGAATATTTAAAGCTTAGATCCCTCCACCTTACTGGTTTAAAGCTGAGGACCCTTGACCTTGAGCCGAGTCCAAATCTAGAGAGGTTGTATCTGATGGGTTTTGGTCATAAGACATCCTATGTGCTCATACAAACCCTAATGCTTGGATCTAGGTTTCTCTATTGTACATGCTTTGAATCCAAGACTATAAACCCTAATTCTAGCATGCAAGTAATCATATTAACATGTAATTAGGTTTAAGATCATACCTTGATTGTTATGTAGCAATAACAATCCCAATTCCTCCTTGTATTGACTTTGGAAGGCTTAGAGTCACAAGTGTCACTCCTCTAATGGTTCACAAACACCATAAGCAAGAGGATGAAGAGGAGAGAGGATGGAGGCTGCCAAAAACGTGTGTCAACGCTTACAAGAAGCTTAGCCACGTTTTTGAGCCTTAAGGGGTCTTTATATACTTGGGCTATTAGGGTTATCTAACAAGGAAACCCTAATTTGGAAGCTTAAGCCCTAAGCAACCCATATACTCCTTTAATTAAGCCCATGGACGATTTCCTTATGGGTTTCCCATTAGAATTCGTCCATCCCTTAATATAAGGCAATCCATGGCCCAAATTCAATTATCTTATAATTACAATTCCAGTCCCTTAAGTTTAATTAATCTCATTTAGTCACAAAACTAATTACCAATTAATTATTGACTAATATTAATTAAACAATATGATTTCTCCTTTAATATATTATTCTCATAATACATTAATAAATCATATTTAATCCTTACTCTCCATAAATCATCCTATCAAGTTGCTTTGGTGAAGGCAACCCAAAAGGACCATGCACCATCGGGTCAAGTACATACCAAAATAGTTATGGACTTAGACACTAATCCAACAGTCTCCCACTTGGATAAGTCTAACAACTATTCTGCGTATGACTTCAGATCCTGATCTGCAATCGTAGCTTTCCAAAGCCGCTGTCAACTCTGATCATATCAGATACGCGTGTCCTTAGATAAGGGATCATATATTCCTCCATTCTAGATATCGTATGAGATATGATTTCAAATCATTCTCTTTGTACTATATCTCGATTTCCGATTTATGACGACAGACTAATTGAACAAATCAAATTAGCCCTAGCCCGGCCGAGCATTTACGTATGTCATCACTAAACCATCGAGGGGCCCAAAGATATCGCTTTTATTCTTTAATAAAAGGAACGGATAAACTTTGATACAATGCTTGCTTGCACTCACTCACTGAATTACACACAACAATATGTTTTATAACACCAAGTTACTGGTGCGTTTACATATTATCAATGTGCAACCGATTCGCAAGATACAACTCACACATCTCGGTTTCAAGAATATAAGATGTTATCGTCTCACCAATCACTCGTAATACAATTCATGAAGTGATCCAAGTGAGCGTGGGTTTAATCCAATGCTCAAATCATATTCATAAGCACTCATGAACGTTGCAGCAAACATTTGCTTATGTCTAATACTCTTCTAGACAATCCACACACCAATTCACGACAGTCTTCATTCATATCTACTTCCAACATATGAACGACTGTGGCCCGTTTGAATAATTCGATTATTCTTAATAAACTCAATTATTCTGGAAGTCAAAACATGCAAGGTGAAACACAAGAATAATACTAATCCCATAT